ACCACACCCTCTCTCCTCCAGGACACTTCACCATCAACGGCGTGCCAGTGGAGGGCGTGGAGGCGCTGGAGGACGGGACCTTCGTGTACACCCTGGCGGACTTCCTGTTCGAGCACCGGGCGCGCGTGGACGACGCCTTCCTGCACCTGATCAGCCAGCCCGCGGAGTTCGGGCCGCTCGGCGAGCCTCTGGGTATGTAGGCCTAGCGTTTCTGCTTTATTATTATTATTATTATTATTATTTTTTTTTTTTGAGGGGGGGGGGTGATAAAAATAAAAATTATCAGAAAACTATCGATGGTAAAAAATAAATTAATTAATAATAATAAAAAAAAATCATGTTGATTTGCATATTTGCATAGGCCTCAAGAATATATATTATTTATATAAGAATAGAAAAAATTATGATTGTAAAGTGAAAGAAAAAAAAGAATGGGAATGTAGAAATTCAGATGAAGTGGCCTTGCATTTTGGAATAAATTTATTAATTGATTTATTGCACGGTTGTATTGTCAAATCTCAAAGCTTAAACCACAGCCGCTAGGAATAGTCCATATTTCCTTACCTGATTTCACCTTCCCTGAATTTGCTAGGATTTTTTTTTCTTATTTCCTAATGATATTAATTACGATGTTGTTATTATTGTTATTGGCATCGTAGTTATTCCGTATTATTAACAATGCGAATAGCTGTATAACATAAAATGTAATATTTCTGAAAATCAAGGAAAAAGGTGAACAAGTGACATAGGTCGAACTAACGATTGACTGAAAAATTATAGTAATAAATTAAATTCACTGGGCAATGGCCATTCCAGGTGGCATATGTGTTGATGTATGATATAAATATCTTGTATGATTTGATTATCTTCCAGTGTAGATAAGCAATATAGTTATATTTCGAGATTTGAGATATCAGCATATTCTCATATATGATATACAGGTACCTTGTAACACTTGAATATCAGTTATTTTCACCGTTGTGTTATTTTCTCGTGATATTAAGAGAAATATTATTATTTTCCATAAACATAAACAAACACACCGATTACTCTTGTATTTTACATATGCAAATAAGCCATGTGGTACTTTAGAAATAATGAAAATGATTATAGACAAATAGAGCAAAGGAAAAAACAAAATCATATAACTGCCAATACTTCGTTAATTTCACTTTACGAACTCACACACATCACACTAGTATAATGAATGACCACAAACTAAAGAAATCCTGTGAAAGAGAGAGAGAGAGCGAGAGAGAGAGAGAGAGAGAGAGAGAGAGAGAGAGAGAGAGAGAGAGAGAGAGAGAGAGAGAGAGAGAGAGAGAGAGAGAGAGAGAGAGAGAGAGAGAGAGAGAGAGAGAAAGAAAGAAAGAGAGAGAACCATCTCTCAAATTACGAATCCAACCTGACGGTAGACTTCGCTAACGACGAGTCCATCACTTTGCAGAGATTCCTACGCCGGTCGATGGAAACGCGACGACGGAAGAACCTTATCCGACGACGGTGCCAAGGATCCCCAGTCTAGTGGATGAACAGGAAGCCTCGTCCCTTCTGAACCTCTGGCGCCATGCCCTTAGGACGCAGGAGGTTTCGCCCACGCTCAGGGATGATAGAGGTGCGTCAACTTGGTTTTATGGCGGGGGGAAGGGTTATTGCAGTGTATTAAAGCTAGAGAGAGGGGGGTAGGAGAGGGAGGGAGGAGGGAAGGAGGGGGACGAAGGGAGAGGAGGAGGGAGAAAGGGAAGGATGGAAAGGGAAAGATATAAAAATAGATATAGAAATAAAAATAGAGATCTGGATAGAAAGATAGAGAGAGAGAGAGAGAGAGCGAGAGTGTGTGTGTGTGTGTGTGAGAGAGAGAGAGAGAGAGAGAGAGAGAGAGAGAGAGAGAGAGAGAGAGAGAGAGAGAGAGAGAGAGAGAGAGAGCTAGACAGTCATATAGATAGATAGATATCGCGAGAGCGAGAGAAAGAGGAAAACATAATCTGATAACCTCCCCACGAAGACCGCATTGCAACCACCTCGCCATTTCTCTGCTCCTAACAGTCCCCAAGACGCTCCTGTCTCCCGACTTCCTGGAGGTGGTCAACCTGGTCCCTCAAGACGCCCCTCACCCGCTGTACGACGACGCCCCCGAGAATGAGGCTCTGCTGAAGGAGATCCTGCTGGACTATATGGTTCTCGATCCTCTCAGCATTCAGTCGACTCACTCAGGGGGACTCAGGGTTACCAATCTCGCTGGAAAGGAACTTGTCTTCGCCGTCGACAACCAGGGTCAGTGGTGCCAAGTTATATTGTGATGATATGGCGATAAGTCAGCGCAGATATAAACGATATTGATCGGTGGATAGATAGATAGATGGAGAAAAATTGATATAGGTAAACAGGGTGAGATAGGTGTGGATAGGTAGAGAGAAAAATATGGATAGACAGAAGGAAACAAATACGAATAGACAGACAGAGACAGGCATATAGACAGAGAAGATATCAATAGATAGACAGGGAAATATATAAATAGACAGAAAGAGACAGACAGATATAGACAGAAGCATATACAGATAGACGATTGATTGACAAGGAAAGACCGAGAGACAGTCAGACAAGGATACATCTGACATTAAAAAAAAAAAAAAAAAAAAAAAAAACATTCAGATTCATTTTCTTTTGACTCTTCAGATAACCTCGTAGTCAACGGCGTAAAGGTAGAAGCGATGGAAGTTCTCTCGGATGGAACTCAAGTCTTCACCCTTACTGATTTTCTCTTCGACCACCGCGACCGAGTGAACGAAGCTTTCCGCAAACTGAACGAACAGCCCTCTCTGTTCACACCGTTGGGCGAACCTTTGGGTAAGTCGAACAGAGGCTGAGGGAAGATAGGGCTAGGTGAATTGATTATTATTGTATTTTTTTATTGTTGTGTGTTTTTTATTTGATCATTATTGTATGTTTTTTTATCGTTGCGTGTTTTTTATTTGATTATTATTGTATGTTTCCATTGTTGCGTGTTTTTTATTTGATTATTATTGGATCTTGTCATAATCATTGCTCCCTATTTTGCATTTTCACTCTCCTACCAGATCTTGTGGTATTATCATTCCCTGTTTTATATCTTCCCCCTCCGGTCACTAACTGTACCCTTTTTTCCTCCGCCAGATCTCCAAACCGAAGCTCACCCATCTCTCAAGACAACTGAACAAATTGATGACTTTGTTCCAGAAGCAGTTGCCATTGTGTCAGAATCAGTTCAGGAACAGAACAGGTTCGATCAGACACCGTCAGAAAGCGTCGCAGAGGCGGACCAAACGCTGTCAGATTCGCTCCAGACAGAAACGCAGACATACCCGGAAACAGCGGAGGTTTTGCGAGAGTCAGAGCAAGCGCTGGGCGAAGACGGTCATGATGACTTGTCCGGATCCGTGAAAGCACAGCAAGAAGCAACTCAAGCGGAGGTGGTGGCAGTTTCAGATTCGGACTTGGAACTGCTGGAATCGATTCAAGCAGCGGCATCGGATCGTGCGGAGTCAGAGGATGCTCAGATAGTTCCTGGAGTTTATAGCATCCAGTCTGATCCTGTTCAGGTAGTGTTGGAAACGGAGGACGGACTCGTGGATCCTGTTGAAACTGCTCCGGATGATCACATTCCTTCAGAGTCGGTTCAGATCCAAATCGTGTCAAAAACAGACGAGACGCCACTGGAACCTCTCCAAGCAGGGCAGGAAGCAGAGCAAACCCTGCCGGAGCCCGCACAGGAGCAGGCGGCGTCGGAAACAGTTAACGAACCTTCAGAGTCAGTTCAGGAACTCTCAGAGCTGACCCAAGCGGTATCAGAAACAGACGAAGCTCTACAAACAGAGCTGGAAACAGAACAGCCACAAGAACTGTCAGCTGCAGAGTCTACCCAGAGCCTCCCCGAAATCCCCAAGATCGTGGACCAAGGGGAAGCCTCGTCTCTCCTCGACATCTGGCGCCATGCACTCGAGGCGCAGGATCCGTCGGCTACACTCAGGGATGGCAGAGGTAGGGTCTCCTAAAAATACAACGATGGCAAAAAAAGAAAAAAAATCGTAGGGCTCATAACAAGAAATTAATTAAAACATGAGACAACATTGTTTATAATTTTATTTATTTATTATTATTTGTTTTGCCAGTGCTTATTCAGAGCACTCCATTGAATTAATAGAAAGATAAGGTCATTCGTAGTTGTTTTTTTGTGGGTGTGTTTCTTGTACATATGAAAAATCCATTTACAGGCTTCCACTGTTCTAAAACTACATTACCTTTTTTCCCATCCTCTCAGAACCAAAGACTCTACTATCTCCCGACTTCCTGGAGGTGGTGAACTTAGTGCCCCAAGACGCCCCACACCCCCTCTACGACGACGCCCCTGAGAATGTGGCCCTTCGCACGGAGTTCCTGCTCGATTACATGGCCCTGGATCCCATCGATGTCCAGGACTCGCGGATAGCTTCACCCGAGGGACTCCGTGTGACCAACCTGGCTGGGAAAACGCTCTCCTTCGCCGTGGACTTGGAAGGTACGGGCGATGCGTCTGGTAAAAAGTACAGTTAAAAAAAAGTAAAATATAGTGTTTTAAGATAAGATCTAAATATGTATCTATATATTTTATTAGTGTAGTATGTCTATCTAGTTATATCTGTCTGTCAATAAAGATATGCTTGGTTACAGGTACATATGAATATATTTTGATTACTAGAATCCATTAGTCAGCGATTTAAATTTCAGGAAATTTAAGAATAAATAGCTTAATCAGATAAGGGCAGAAAAAATGGATTCAGCCACAAATCCCTAATTTCCGAAATCATTTCCTCGTTTAATATCTTTAGAGAATGTAACTTTACCTTCCATACCGTTAATAAAATTCTCAATAATTAACATAAGTAGAGAGGAGGACATACAGACACACTCAAAATTCTCAACAGTTAACATCGGTAGAAAGGAAAACATACAGACACACTTATATCCATTATATACCCTCCAGA